CCTAGAAGAAAACCTAGGCAATATCATTCAGGATATAGGCAAGAGCAAGGACTTCATGACTAAAACACCAAAAGCAATGGCAACAAAAGCCAACGTTGACAAATGGGATCTAATTAAAACCCATCTGACAAAGGGCTGATATGCAGTATCTATAAAGAACTTAAAGAAATTTTCAAGAAAAAAATAAACAACCACATCAAAAACTGGGCAAAAAAACATGAACAGACACTTCTCAAAAGGAGACATTTATGCAACCAACAAACACGAAAAAATGCTCATCATCACTGGTCATTAGAGAAGCGCACATCAAAACCACATTGAGATACCATCTTACACCAGTTAGAATGGTGATAATTAAAAAATCAGGAGACAACAGATGCTGGAGAGGATGTGGAGAAACAGAAATGCTTTTACACTGTTGGTGCAAGCGTAAATTAGTTCATCCATTGTGGAAAACAGTATGGTGATTCCTCAAGGATCTACAACTAGAAATACCATTTGACCCACCAATCCCATTACAGGGTTTATACCCAAAGGATTATAAATCATTCTATTATAAAGACACATGCACACGTATGTTTATTCCCACACTGTTCACAATAGCAAAAACTTGGAATCAACCCAAATGCCCATCAATGATATACTGGATAAAGAAAATGTGGCACATATACACCATGGAATACTATGGAGCCATAAAAAAGGATGAGTTCATGTCCTTTGCAGGGACATAGATAAAGCTAGAAACTATCATTCTCAGCAAACTGACACAAGAACAGAAAACCAAACACTGCATGTTCTCATAAGTGAGTGTTGAACAATGAGAACACAGGGATGGGGACATCACACAACAGGGCTGTTGCAGGGTTGGAGGATAGGGGAAGGATAGCAGGGGTTGGGGGTATATGAGAAGGATAGTATTGAGAGAAATACCTTATGTAGATGATGGGGTGATGGATGCAGCAAACCACCATGGCACATGTATACCTACACATTTGGGCACATGTAACAAACCTACACATTCTGCACATGTACCCCAGAAGTTAAAGTATAATAAAATAAAATAATAAATAAATAAAATTATTTAAATTTTAAAAAAGGAAGTGGTCTGCCACATAAAAGATTAGTGATAGAGACTATTATAAAGAAAAATGTTAAATGTGTTAATGTTCAGTCAGAAAAGCTGACCCTCAAACAACATGGATTTGAACTGGGCAGGTCGACTAATAGGTGGATTTTCTTCTGCCTCTGACACTGCTGAGACCACAAGGCTACCCTTCCTTTCTTCCTCATTCTCAGCCTAGTCAAGGTGAAGACAAAAAGGATGAAGACCTTTATGATGATCCACTTTGCTTAATGAATAGTGAATATATGATTTTTTTCTTAAAAACATTCTCTTTTCTCTAGCTTACTATATGTAGTAATACATTATATAATACTTATAAGATATAAAATATGTATTAATTGACTATGCTATGAGTAAGCCTTCTGATCAACAGTAGGCTATTAGCAGTTAAGTTCTTGAGGAGCCAACAGATGCACACAGATTTTTTACTATGAAAGAGTCAGTTCCCCTAACCCCAGTGCTATTCAAGAATTGACTGTATTATTTCAAAGAGATCTATTTAATGTCTAGCTGAACCAATTTGTTGTCAGTACAAAACATTTTACTACAACCTAGGTGATCCCTCCCTTGAGATTATTCTCCCTTTTCTCTATATGCAAAGTTACTACGTATTTATTCAACACAAATTTTCTTCCTGTGTCTGGTTTATATAGCACTAGAACAAAATTGGAAGAAAAGAAGTTAAAAAATAAGAAGCAATTTGAGCACTCATAATGAATATAATGATGGGTAAGATATATATATATATACACACACATATATTATATATATATAACATATATGTGTGTGTATAGATATGTTATACACACAATAATGAATGTTGCAAAAGTCACAAAATTAACTATGACAGTGAATAGAAATTACAGCCTTCAACGTCCATCTTTAATTTTTCAACATTTAAGAATGCATGGATACAAAATATATTTTATTTATTCTAAGCTCTCCAACAGAGCACAACAGTGTAAATATGATAAGTAGGAATTGACAAAAGTGCTTCAATATTGAGGACACAATAAGAAATCAGAAAGATTTGGATACAATACCATGTAGCAATAAAAGCTAAGTCTTGATAATCTGTTGAATTTTTTAAAGAGAAGTCAGATATCACTAATTTATAAAAAATAAATGCCACTGGCTTTTAGATATTGGTGACTAATTATTTTTTGTTTCCTTTTAAATTCTGTGTTTTTAAGGCACAGATAGTGCCATCACTGCCAAATCTACAAATGATGAGGTCTCCTTGGTGGACAGGAGGCCTCTTCATTAATAACAAAAGTAAATTTTGACAACTAGATGAGATTTGCTATGCTTCTGGTGTCTGTGTGACATGTTGAGTCCCATTTCTCACACCAAAATTGAAAAACATTGCCAAACTTTCTTTGATTTATTTTTTAAAAATTACCATATGGAGAATGAGGGCTGACGGGTAAAATCATCTCAATCTCTTTTATAAACTTCCGAAAAAAAAAAACCAAAACAACCGTATCTGGAGTTTTGGAGCTAGGTCTGCCCTAATCAAAATGGCAAATTTTCTTTAACAATCAGAATACTTACAATATCTATTCTCACCCATGTCCCCTCATTGTTTCTTTAATTGCTATTTGCAGACACTTCTGCTCTTTAACAACTTCCAGAGTGTCTGTTTTTCCTGCCCTGTACAAGGCCTTCTAATCTATTTGAAACATCTATGATAACAACCTTTGATACATTAGTGCCCTCTCTTGTCACCCAAATACAGCAGGCAGCAATCAGGTTAAGAAGCAAAGCCCTTCTATTATAGTTTGTATACAAATAGAAGTATTTAAAATTAACATTTGGAATAACACTTAGAATACATTTAGAAATACTTCTGAAAAACAAGTGAATGTCCCTCACTTCACTAAAGGCATGAAACAAAGCAAAAGGCATTTTCACAAGTTGCTCACACGCAGAAGAAACATGGCTTTTGGCATCAGCTGGTGTGTATATATTCAGGAATCATGCTTCCAACAGCCTGCTATGCTCAGATTTCTACAGCAGCAATTTAGGGCAGAAATGGTAGAATGGTAAGGAAAGGCTTACTGTTACCCTAAAATTATTATATATTGTCATATGTTATTTGTATTTGTTAACTAATAAACAACTAATAGTTTGCCCTTTTAAATTATAGGTTAAGTTGTTGAAGTAAGGCACTGAGGTTCAGTCTATATTGTGTTAATGATCACTTTTTGTATTAATGCATGCTAATAAAAATGTGGCGAGGCTTAAACAAATACATGTGTAAGTTTGGTGATAATCCCTACAAATTTTTCTTTTTCTTGGGAAGATTTGAGGAGAAAGTTTGCCACCTGCTTTCTATCTGTCCAATCTGCCATTTTATGTAGTAGCTGTTCAATACATTGTTAGTCTTAGGAAGTTGAGAATCGTTTCTTATGGCTCTTTGCAGTGAAGTGGCATTTAACTCAAATTTGATTTGAAACTAGCCTTTTAGAAAACCAGTACATGAGCTGTCATTGTATTACACAGTCATTGTATTAAGCAGTCATGTCTTAACTCACCTACTATCCTTTTCTCACATTCTCTAAATAAACATTTGTAACTTGTAGTAAAGTAAATCTTGGAATAAAGTGATTTTTTTACCTGATTGTCTCTGAGGGACACATGATATGTCTTCTCAGAAGTCAAATAGAGAACTGTCTTATGGAGTATTACTTTGTTTATCACAGAGTTTAATAATTCTAAGCCCTTCACAGAGAAGCATGTTCATGTTGAGAGACTGATATTCCTTTGGGATTTGCTTAAGTCACTCAATCCCAATATTTCAGTATCCCCTTAAGAAAATCACTGTAAGATTCCATCTGTGTTGTGACATTTTTCTCAGTTGCCATCTCACTGGTTCCTGACAGTTCTTCAATACCACTGGGTCACAGAGTTCATTTCATCAAAGAGTCAAGAGTTTTTGCATTTGTGTATGTTACCAGTGGTTTACAAATGGTGTTTCAGGTTTTAAAAAAATGTTGCTTTTATAGTACATTGCACTTCTTACTCATGGTTTTTAAATTTTAAAAAATCATTTTCTACATTCCCACTATTAGAATAAAATCCTTGATTACTATATAATTTCTTGCGAAAAGATCAATACATTCACTAGGAGGATAGATTAGGCTCTTCCTGAATGGGGAAAACTTTATTTCCTGTGTCTTCACAATAGGGTATATTTGTGGAGAAGAAATATAAGAATATCTTTATCCCATTTCTCCTCAGTTTTAATAAGATATTTATTATAGACAAGGAGTGTTTTTGTATATTATTAATATTCATTAAAGTTTAAGCAATCAGTACATCCATTTTATGTGAGGAGAAACTAAAAATAATTTTTACTTAGACCTTCATTTTGCTTTACTGAAAATAGGCCAGAGCAATTGCTTAAAATTTGATTAGGAATTACTTGTGCATGCTGGAATTAAGGATAGTTGATTTTGGCTTGGAAAATTGCAGTTCACTTTATCTCCTTTCGACTGACTAAATAAAACCAATCATCAACATTAGAATGATGCAATGATAGAAAAAAGCAAAATAATTTTCCAATTAAGTAGTAAATAATGACTTCCTAATACAAATAAATACATACTTCTAAGCTTAGCTGTGGAGGAAGAATCATCTGGTTGGAAGATGAAGCCTGACACTTCCCAGTGAATACACTGGCCAACAATTTAGATACTGAAAACTCAAACCTTGGTTCAAATACTGGCTATTTCACTTAAATCTGTTTGACTTTGGGTATATTATTTATATTTAATTATAAATTTTATAAGCTATAAAACAAAGTCAGCAGTACCTTCTTCATAGTGTTGACTAAGGATTGAATGAGATTAACTCATATAATTCTTTGTTTTTTCTGGGTGCCGTGACCAACGATCACCAGCTGCCCAAATGCCAAAAAATTATGCTTCCGAAATCTCTTGATGCCAATTCCGCACGAAGAGCAATTGAGTTGCTCTATGTGTGCCACTCACGACAGAAGCCATTTTAAATTTTTTTTAACATAGTACTTCACAAATAGTAGCAATTCAATAAATATTCATCGTTACACTTAATGACTTTGGCATCTGTTAATTTTAATTCTCATAGCTCCTGCTACAAAGGCTGGCAGGAGTAAATTTTAATAGATAGCTTGTGTATGAATTACTTTCCTTGGATCTTCTTCAGGACAAATGTGGTAGAATAAAACCTTTTAAAATATCTACTGGAGACTAATGTTAACAACATAGGCAGGCATCTAAAAAATAAAATCTAAAAACACACAGTACCCAAAATCTGAAATATCCACTTGTGAGTCAGAAGTACATGGCACAAGTTTGCAGGATTTGTCTGGACCATTTCCTCCCATACTTGGCACAGCCATATGTGGAGGGCATGAATTTAATGAAAACTATATAAAATCCTCTTAAAGTCTTTCTTGATTGTTGTTTTCAAAAAACAAAAACCACTCTTCTGCTATAACAATTCAAGACATTAATTTAAAGAATTTTGGGAGGTGTGCCACATTTCCAGAAAAGTTTTTGAATAAAACTTGAGACATAAGAAATTTCTTCTTATGTCTTCTCATTTCTTCTTATGTTAGTTTAAGGAAAACTAAATAGCCACATCTGTAGTAACCTCAACTTCTACTGCAGAATGTTAAATGCCATTGTTTTCACAGTGATAGATGCTTGCAAATGAGGTGCTATTGCCACTGCTGCTGCCGCTTGCTATCAGAATGGATTCTGCACAGCATCCACCATACTTAATCTGAAGGTTAGGATAGTGTGTTTGATGGTCACAGTCTAGGAAAGACTAGAAATATGATCTTTTTTGTCTTTAAAATTCTCTAAAACAGCTCTTGCAGACCGCAGACGCGATGCTGGGAGCTGCGGCTCCGGCGGCGGGGACGGCAGAGATGTGATGGGCGGCCCTAGCTTCACCGTCCCTCCCTCCTCGGGCCCGCAGGTCGCTGAGCCGCCTGCTGCAGGGCCTCGGCATAGGAGGCAGAGCGACCTCTACACGAAAAGAGGGTACAAAATGAAAACAAAAAGGGCCAGGCATGGTGGCTCATGACTGTAATCCCAACCCTTTGGGAGGCTGAAGCGGTGGATTCCTTGAGCTCTGGAATTCAAGACCAGCTGGGACAACATGGCGGAAACCATTTAAAAATTATCCAGATAGGGCTTTGGAGTCTGACTATTCTGATCATCCAAAAATAAAGAAATCTCAAGCAGTTGATAGAGCTTTTGAGTCTGACCCTTCTTCTGATCATCCCGAAAGAAAGAAATATCCAGCAGATGATAGAGCTTTGGAGTCCGACCCTTCTGATCATCCAGAGGGAAAGAAGTATCCAGCAGATGATAGGGTTTTGGAGTCCGACCGTTCTGATCATTCAGAAACAAAGAAATCTCAAGCAGTTGATAGGGATTTGGAGTCTGACCCTTCTGATCATCCAGAAGGAAGGAAATACTCAGCAGATGATAGTTCCTTGGAGTTGAGCTCTTCTGAAACATGGACATCCCAAACAGCGCAAGAAATAGGAGAAAACAGCTGTAGAAACCATATATATATGGATCATTTTTCTTTGAAATTCAGTTCATGCTCGACAATTTTTCTTGAAGACAGCACAGCCAGCTGCCCTGATTTTGAAACGACACTACACTATGTCGCCTTGGAGTTGTATTTTCTTATCAAGGAAAGAAAAGGAAATATATCTTTCACAATATTTGATGAACGTGTATACCCATTGGAAGACGAAATGGAAAAATACATTATGTGTGATCCTTCACAGACAATGATTTACGAATTTATACATTCCCTGTTTTATGTAAAAATTCTAAATGTTGCTGATGTCATCAAAAGTAGGGTGTATATCCAAAGACTTGTGCACTGTGCTTCTATGTACATTCGTCCAACCACCTGGAGGAGGATTATCCTCGGAGCCTTTCTTCTTGTCATCAAGGTTGGGAGCAATGTGGCTGTGTGCAATGAGGACTTATGCATGCGCTTTGAGAAAACTACAGTTGACGATCTGTGAGTTTGTATAGTTTTTGTGAACTTTCTAACCATTTTTGGATACTTTATTTGCTCCCATAAACTTAAACACTTTGAAAAATACTTTTAAAGGTTACATTATGCAGATAATAAAAATGGGCTTAAATACTAAAAAAAAAAAAAATAAAAATAAAAAAAAAATAAAAATAAAATTCTCTAAAACAGAATCTAGAAGAAATAGACAAATTTCTGGGCACTTACACCCTCCCCAGTCTAAACCAGGAAGAAGCCAAATCCCTGAATAGACCAATAACAAGGTCTAAAATTGAGGCAACAATTAATAACCTACCAACCAAAAAAAGTCCAGGACCAGACAGTTTCACAGCCAAATTCTACCAGAGGTACAAAGAGAGCTGGTATCATTCCTTCTGAAATTATTCCAAACAGCAGGAAAAGAGGGAATTCTCTCTAACTCATTTTATGAGGCCAACATCATCCTGATACCAAAATATGGCAGAGAAACTAAAAAAGAAAATTTCAGGCCAATATCCCTGATGAACATCAATGCAAAAATCCTCAATAAAACACTGGCTAACTGAATCCAACAGCAAATCAAGAAGTTTATCCATCACAATCAAGTCGGCTTCATCCCTGGGATGTAAGGCTGGTTCAACATACACAAATCCATAAATGTAATCCATCATAAAGATAACCAAAGACCAAAACCACATGATTATCTCAATAGATGTAGAGAATGCCTTTGACAGATTCAACAATGCTTCATGCTAAAAACTCTCAATAAACTAGGTATTGATGGAATGCATCTCAAAATAATAAGCTCTTTTTATGACAAACCCCAGCCAATATCATACTGAATGGGCAAACACAGGAAGCATTCTCTTTGAAAACTGGCACAAGACAAGGATGCCCTCTCTCACCACTCCTATTCAACATAGTATTGGAAGATCTGGCCAGGGCAAGAGAAAGAAATAAAGAGTATTAAAATAGATAAATGGGAAATAAAATTATCTCTATTTGTAGATGACATGTTTGTATATTTAGAAGACCCACTGACTCAGCCCAATATCTCCTTAAGCTGATAAGCATCTACAGCAAAGTTTCAGAATACAAAATCAATGTGCAAAAATTACAAGCATTCCTATACACCAATAATAGATAAACAGAGAGCCAAATCATGAGTGAACTCCATTTGCAATTGTGACAAACGGAATTAAATAACTAGGAATAAAACTTACAAGGTATGTGAAGGACCTCTTCAAGAAGAACTATAAACCACTGCTCAAGAAAATAAGAGAAGACACAAACAAATGGAAAAAACCTTCCTTGCTCATGGTTAGGAAGAATCAATATTGTAAAAATGGCCACACTGCTCAAAGTAATCTGATTCAATGCTATTCCCATCCAGCTACCATTGACTTTCTTCACAGAATTGGAAAAAACACACCTTAATTTCATATGGAATAAAAAAACCCCACATAGCCAAGACAAACCTAAGCAAAAAACAAACAAACAAACAAAAAGCTAGAGGCATCATGCTACCTGACTTCACACTATACTACAAGGCTACAGTAACCAAAACAGCATGGTACTGGTAGCAAAACAGATGTGTAGACCAATGGAACAGAACAGGGGCCTCAGAACAGATATATAGACCAATTAAACAGAACAGAGGCCTCAGGAATAACACCACACACCTACAACCATCTGATCTTTGACAAACCTGACAAAAACAAATAATGGGGAAAGGATTCCCTATTTAATAAATGGTGTTGGGAAAACTGGTTAGCCATATGCAGAAAGGTGAAACTGGATTCCATCTTTACACCTTATACAAAAATTAACTCCAGATGAATTAAAGATTTAAATGTAAGACCTAAAACCATAAAAGCCCTAGAAGAAAACCTAGGCAATACCATTCAGAATATAGGCATGGGCAAAAACTTCATGAAGAAAATACAAAAAGCAATGGCAACTAAAGCCAAAATTGACAAATGGGATCTAATTAAACTTAAGTGGCTTCTGCACGGTAAAACAAACTATCATTAGAGTGAACAGGTAACCTACAGAATGGGAGAAAATTTTTACAGTCTACCCATCTGACAAAGGGCTAATATCCAGAATCTACAAAGAACTTAAACAAATTTGCAGGGAAAAAAAAACAACGCTATCAAGGAGTGGTTGAAGTATATAAACAGACACTTCTCAAAAGGAGACAGTTATGCAGCCAACAAACACATGAAAAAAGCTCATCATCACTGGTCATTGGAGAAATGCAAACCAAAACCACATTGAGATACCATTTCATATCAATTAGAATGTTGATCATTAAAAAGTCAGGAGACAACAGATACTGGAGAGGATGTGGAGACACCTGAAAGCTTTTACACTGTTCTTGGGAGTGTAAATTAGTTCAACCATTGTGGAAGATAGTGTGGCAATTCCTCAAGGATCTAGAATTAGAAATACCATTTGACCCAACAATCCCGTTACTGGGTATATACCCAAATAACTATAAATCATTCTATTATAATGATACATGCACACATATGTTTATTGCATCACTGTTCACAATAGCAAAGACTTGGAGCCAACCCAAATGCCCATCAATGATAGACTAGATAAAGAAAATATGGCACACATACACCATAGAATACTATGGAGCCATAAAAAAGGATGAGTTCACGTCATTTGCAGGGACATGGATGAAGATGGAAACCAGCATTCGCAGCAAACTTACACAAGAACAGAGAACCAAACACTGCATATTCTCACTCATAGGTGGGTGTTGAACAATGAGAACACATGGACACAGGGAGGGGAACATCACACAGTGGGGCCTGTCACAGGGTACGGGGCTAGGGGAGGGATAGCATTAGAAGAATTACCTAATGTAGATTATGGGTTTGTGTATGCAGCCAACCACCATGGCATGTGTACACCTATGTAACAAACCTGCATGTTCTGCACATGTATCCCCAAACTTACAAAGTATA